TTTCAGATTTCCTTTCTTGATTTCCATACACTGCAAAAATTGTATACTCTATTCTTCTGCAGCCATAAGTGCTTTGACGCAGTGCAGGAGGGTTCTGTATATGTAAAAATTTTTATAACACTATTATTCCTGGTTTCACAAAACCTTAATTATCATCTGTGGGATAGTTAATCTTAAATAAATCAGATTTGAATAATCCAAAAGTAATTATTTTGCCTACGATACCTCATCTAATAAAATATAAATCAAGCAAAGAGGCAGCTTAAACTTTTCAGCATTTGCTTGCTTTCAAACCTGTCTTGTAGTTACTGCAGATACTGCATTAGTGCCAAACAAATTTACCATGCAGAGGCACATTCACCCATTTCTAATACCAGTCTTCATTGTTATGGACTGTCTTTCTTGGGAGGTGGGATATGGACAGTGCTCTGTCAGTTTTTAAGGTTTAATATGGTATATCAAGGCTAGTGACCAAGAACATCAGTCTAAGGCTTTCTCCCCAAAGATGTACACAAGATGAAGTATCAAAATGTTTTAAAAGTTTTCGTCCTGGTGGGTGTTCCTTCAGCCCAAATCTGTGTAGTAATACATGCCCCTAAGATACCAACCACTGTGATTTTCTGGGAAGTTCTGAAAGAGGAAGTAGTCATGACTCACGTGATAGACACATAGTCAACTCAATAAGTTTCTGAAAGCTGCAGGCACCGCCTCAAATTTAGAGACAAATCTTGTTCTTTCTATGAGGTTATCTTCTCTAGGGACTGCATTTAATTTAGAACATGGGCTTAAAGAACTATGTTACACAACCTAATGTAAAACATTCTCCACAGACAGGTAGTATGGTAAGCAGTACGATCTTGCCTCATGTATTATAGTCAGCTGGCAAAATAATAGAATTTAGGCAACTCAATAGGTTATCTTGTTGAATCTCATATTCTAAGACAGGGAACTATATCTATATTCAGAGAAGCTAGGATGTTTTCTTGTCTTCCTGATACAGCCTTTCTACTGTGTTTTTGAAAACCTCTTCCTGGGAGAGGTTCTGAAGTCTAACCTAACCTCCAGGTTGATCTCATATTGCTCATCTTCCCATCCATAGATATGACAAGTAGATTAAGCTCCTTTTAACACTTAGACTGTTACAATGTCTCTCTCTAGGCTTCCCTGGAATAAAGAAGCTCAGTACATTCAGTCACTGAGCTTAGCCATTTTCCCTCAGCTATCTTTAACTAGGTCCTAATTGTCACTACACATATTGCTCACCTTCCTTAAATCCTAAAATAGTAGAACATTTGGAAGATAAGTAAGTCCCAAATGAATGCACATTGGCTTTAGAAACCTCATTCACCTTCTCTTTTTACCCTGACTCTTATATGGCTGAATGCCATGCAGTGCTGTATGTTCTGTATTGTTACTCATCATTCCTACACCTTGACGCTATGCTCAACAAGTATTATAACCCTAGTAGATGAATAAGTTTGCAGACTGTAAAACTCAACATCTGTCACATAACTGAAGGAAGAAAATCTCAGAAATGATGCCCCACAAAACTTCACTTCCATCAGCTTCTTCAACGTCTGTTCTGAAAACGGGTCATGCTTGTTAGTAGTAGTTACAGCAAAAGAACTTCTTGAAGCCATCCATGCTCTAAGCTATGGGAAAGGTGTATCCACACAACACAGGACTGACTGAGTAGTGTTTGCAAATAATATAATAAAAAAATAATTTCTGTAGTGAATGTAGCAAATAAAAAAATTATTTGCTAACAAATGCTTTTATTATTACCCCATCCTCAGAGATTTTGGCATAATATTCAGCTGTTATAGTACTTGTTTTTTAAATTACCAATGCTGAAAATAAAATATTTATGAACATATGTACATATATATTCCTTTATTTGATCAGCTTTGAGGGACATTTTTGGGACATCCATGCCCTAAACAGTTGACATGAATAGGTTAAATTCTATATTGCCATAAATCCACTGAGTTTGCAATAGGCTCATCTTTGAACCTGCGTTATTATTTAATGGGAAAATAAACATTTACACTTGAATTTGTGAAAGAGAATGATAAGAGGGTTGAACAGGTCAGTTTCTTATTAATGAAACAGAGATCCTTTCAACTCTCAGCTACTCAGATGAATCTGAAGCAGGACAGAAGCAACCAAAAGTCATTAACATCTGACAGCTGGGTGATGGCCTGTGTAAAATGAGTTGGTATTCTCAGCCCAGTACATAAAACATCAGAATAATTGGTGTTAATTCGCACCCCTGTTGGCAGTCTTAGCACAAAGGCCAAAGATTGAATGGGTATGAAAATTAAACTATCCTGTCAGCCATAAAAGTTCTTTCAGGTCAGGATTGAAGTGCATTAACAGGATACTGTAGAGGATTTTGTACTGCCCGTGCTGGGGCTGTAATTGTTCGGTAAATAAGCCAAAGACTTTGTGACTAAATTTTCCAGATATTACTAACATGGAGTGTTTTTCTTTTGTGTTTTATTCAGATATTTATTTGAGAGAAAAAAATAAATTTACGACAGAAATACAATGGTGACAAGAACCAAGGAGATCAACAGTTGACCTCTACATCAAATGCAAATTATTGTATCAGTGTCGGGATTTGTGGAGAATTACTAATGCATTTTTACAATAAATGGTATTTTGTACATCTGTTCTGATAGAAAAGAAATGACCACGTGGGTAATTAACCTTAGGTATGTTATGGTCTGGAGTTATCTTCTAGTATAACTTTTTGTTTAGGATTACCAATCTGATAGTGACACAACTTGCTGTGTTTTTCAATCTTAGTTGCACTTGAGAATAAAGTTTGCAGTTAAATTGGAAAGGTATGAAGATATTGAAAAGATTAATACCTTCACCTTGCCAACTGGCAGAAAACCTCGCTGGAGAGGTTTGAGAAAATTCTGCAGTTATGTGGCTCTACACTGAGGAAGACAAGAGTCAGAAATAGAGTCGGTAAGTAACATCTCAAATTCTTTTTGTGCAGAGTATGTTCACCACTTCTCAGGTCTTGCAGATATCTACAAGAAATAAAATAAATCCTCTGAGATTTAATCATAGGTTTAGATTTGCTTTGGTCTAAAAGGAAGGCGATCCTGAGTGAGCTGCAGTGTTAAGTAATGCGGATGTGGCTTTCATGTGCAAATTTCTTTTGACTCAGTGAAACAACAGCTCCCAGAGTCTGGACTGCTGTCCACACAGCCGGGCCTGCATGTGAATGCAAATTACTTCATTATAGGCCAAATCTCCGTGCACCAATGAGCTGTACAGGACACTTGCAGTGATACCAGCTTTGTGTGCAGCTTTCTTGCTGTTTCTGTTTCCTGTCTCAAAATAAGTGACATCTTATCCGTTGCTAAGCAGTAGGAAAGGGGTCCAGTGCGGCAGGGGAAGCAAAACTTCTCTTTTTGTTAGTGTATTCCTTTCACCCTGACAACTGATAACTTTTATATTACTCTTTTCTTCCATCACCTTGAATTTCATAACAGTCATCTCAAAATGAGTCTGAATTCTGTTCAGCTTGCTGTATTCCTGAACTCATTGAATACACATAACAAACAATATATTCATTGACAGTAGTAATAAAAAAGACCAGTTATTTTCAGCTAAGTATAGCACAATCTTTTATAGGAAATATTGAAGGAAAATATAAAGAGCAAGGACAATACTTTATATATATTTTCACCCTTCTAGCTCAGACACCAGTACCTCTGTACTGTAAAGAGAATTCCAGGTAAGCACTCTAAGCTTTTGTTTAGCTTGAGAGACAGGCTCAGAAGTCTTTTTAATTATGCCACACAAGTAGAGCATTTTAACAGATTGGGTTAAGAGTACATCCTGCAGAGCTTCTTAGCAGTTCCTGTAGCTAAAGATATTTTTTAGGTGAGGTGGGAAATGTGAATTTGTATCACACCATTGAGTAATTGAATTTGGATTGCTCAAAACGTATGTGTGGGCTGTTATCCCCAAAAGGTTTTATCCCCTACTAGGGAGATTTTAGGCCCTGTGCACAATTGGTGGGTTATGGACAGCAGGTACATTGACAGTATATTGTACACCTGGTTTAGAATCCTGGATTTAAAAAAAATCATCTCATTTGAATGACTGAAATCTTTAAATCATGCCTGACTGCTTCCTCCTCTGGACTACAAATCCGCAGAATGTTCAAGAGGTAGTGCCGTGAGGCATAGACAGGCAGCTAATTGTTCTTTCTAAACAGAAAGAGGCATTTTCCCATAGTGCAGATATTTAATTTTAGACAGAGCTAAGAAACAATCCTTAAGTGAGAATTTGTAGCTGAGTCCTGAAGATAATTTGCTTTTCAGGTTATTAATCATTGAGAAACCCTCTCTAAGACATGTAGCTTTACCCTTGTACCAGAAGCAGAACTTTAGCCCTGTATTTTACAGTAGGTGTTGCCTGACTCCTTTTGCAAACCTGTCCTTTTGAGCATACAAATTCATTGTATTATCAACCCTAGCTTTTATATGTTTGAGTGCAATAGGAAGAGACCAGATATGCTGTTTGGCTAAAATACTGTTGTCTAAGAATCTAAAACTGGAAAGAAAATCCATCAATATTTCTCTCTTATGGACAGTCTCAGATTTCTGCTGAGTAAATATTTACACCTAGAGAAGAAATTAAAATACAAAGTGAAAGGGAGATCCCTCAGCAACTCTTAAAAAAATTAGGTTTTCCATCCTATATAATTAGATAGGTAATATCAACAACTGCAATGCACAGACAGATGTAGGTGTTTGAGGGCCTTTCCTCAAATGAATCACAGTTACATGACCACCAAACCTGTCATTTTGTGCTGATCCAACAAGACATTTTATTAGTCCTTAACATTTCTCATTGTTTACTGGATGGGAGTACTTGCTACTTGAAGGTGATCCAACACTCCTTTTATATATTCCATTCCATATGTAAAAGACATAGGAACGCCTAGTACCAAACACCAGTATCACCTAGTAACAAGCACCAGCCTCTGGAAATACCTCCAGGGAAAACAGGCCCCTGGCTGCCTTCCCACATCTCATGGTAAGCACACAGCTATTTTATATTCCATTACCCTGATGTCCCTGAGCTTGAGCATATGCTGTTGTCTGTCTTGGGCATATATCCAAACAGTGTGCCTGCAGGCTGTATTCTCTTATAATCCATTGTATATTCTGAGAAATCATATGATCCCATTGGTTTTTTAGATACCAGTTTTAAATTGTCAGAATTGACCCAGTGTCATGTTTCTCTTTTGCTTTTTTTCTGTTAAGGCTGTACCAGATCTTCAGGTTCAAGAATGATTGAGTGCAGCAGTATGCTTCTGCCACAAAAGGAACAGATTTCTAGAATCAGACATAGTATTATATAAACCCTACGTATTTCTAGGCTGTGCAAATTAAATTTTAAAATATACCATTCTATCCCCCCAAGAGTTGAATTCAAATTTTTGTAGCTGAAAACTTAAGACAGTTCTGATATGTGCAGTAAAACTGTCTATCACTTCAGAGCTCCTTGTTTACCAAAACATTTTCTTCAGTTATGCAATACTCAGTGTACCAATTTGTATTTCTAGGCACAGCTCAGAAAAAGAAGTAACACATAAGCCACAGGAGTCATGGAGTAGAGCTGCCTCCTATGAGCAAGGGAACTCCCTCCTCTTTTCACCTCTACACCACCACTCTGCACCAGCCATGTTTCTTAACACAGTGACTGGGCCAAAAGAAGTGTATGTCCTCTTACCTCTGCTCACTGACTTTACGAGGAAGGAGGACAGTCTAAGATTGGTTCCACAAATAAGGACTAGATATAAAAATCCAGTCCTCTGTTATTACCAAAAGATGTCCAATATTTCTTATTATTTCAATAGTTTGTAACTTTACCAAATGCTTGTTGTTTGGAACAGCTGATTCTGTCTCAGGCTGACTTCTTGAGGGTCTTCTCCAACCCTCCAAACCAGCAATGAAGCTGGTTTGACAGTTAGAAAAAAGAATAAAATAGAAGTTTTGTAACTATTTTTAAAAATAGGGAAAAATAGGAGAAAAATTGCATGTAATTATATAATTAAAAATGGCATCATTATCATCATTCCTGCACCTAAGGGAATCTACTTAAGGCTGAAAAATTAATATTAGTTTTGTTATTTTCTATGTTACATTTCTTACATTTCAACAAATTTCAACAAAATTTTCAGTAATTGTAGGTATTTGGGGATCTTTTTATATAAGAATTTAAAATTATTAGGCATTGTATTTAGTGTATTTTCCTGGAATTTCTAAGTGCTGTCTCTTTTTGTGAGGAAGAATATTTTTACTTAATAGATTCCACCCTCATTGCAGGAAATTTGTGGCCTAGCAAAGGAATTTTAAGACCCTTGGAACAAATTTTACAGTCTCTCTATAAAATTAATTTTATATAATTCTCATTAAATTCTATTCCCAAAACTAAGAAAGGGGCATAGTAGTTTGTCTCCACTACTATACTAGGTTTCAGATACAATTTTCAGTGGACATTAAAAAATAGCTTAATGAAATAAGAAATGAAATAAAAAAAAGTCTGAAGTGAATTTTCAGTTACAAGGAAACAAATAACTGCAGAATATTTTCAGAACATTCTTCCAAGATCTTATATGTCAAGCTTCCAGGGGTCACTAGGGAATTCATATGCGAAATGGGTCAGAGTAGGCTTCTAAAACATCACTATGTATTAAAAAAACCCAAACTACAAGAAACTCCCAAGCACAACAAGAAAGAAAGAAACAAAATGCAGCTCTCATTGGCTCATAATTCAGCAGAAATTTACCTTTTTTTTCAGCAAATGACACAGGACTGGGTGAAGATCAAAAATTAAAAGTAATCATATTCTTTATATTGATTTGCAGTTGAAACACTGAAACATTGACAAACCACATACCTATACTATTTCCTGTATGTGAAATAGTCATGGTTGAGAAGGAATTACAGTTATTATATTTATTGCGATATTAAAGCTTTTGTCTACATTTATTATATAGTGAGATAAAACTTGACAGACCTGAAAAATAATTGATTTGATGGGCTTTTCATTCCCTTGTACTCAGAATTACAACAGATATCATAGCGTATGGTCCATTGAGCCCTCCACCTTCTCTTCTAAAGCTTCTACCATTTTGTGGTTGAGTTTCAGGGTAGGGCAAACTTGTGGTTTTTTTTTACACGTCCTGTGAATAGTCAGAGTACTTCAATCTGTAGAGTTGTCATGGTTACAGTTTTCTTGAGTAAAAAGCAGCACTTAGGTGCTACCTGTAGGAGAACAGAGTGGACAGGAATCTCATGAAGTTCTAAAAGGAGAAGTGAAAAGTTCTATACAAGGGAAGGAAATATTGAAAACCTGTCTATACACAGGTCCGGGCAACTGGGTCTAGGTGGCCTTACTTGATCAGAGGCATTGGACCAGATGAGCTTCAGAAGTCCCTTTCAAAACTCAGCCACTCTGTGATTCTGTTATATGTCTAGGCCTAGGGTTTTTTCTAAGTGCAATTTGTGGTAATGTCTACAGAAATCAAGTTTTAATACAGGTCCATGTTAAAAATACAATATAGATTCTCTCAATGAGGAATTTGGTGCCCAGAATCTTGTAGGACTTGCTTCTACATCAATAATTCAACTAACTTTTTAGGGAAAGGATGAGAAATCTGTCTTCATAAAAATTTATCTCCAGCCACATGTAGTAAATCAAAAGAAAGAAAAGTTGATGAATCCAAGATGAAAGGCAAATCAAGGCTTCAAAAAGACAGTAAAATACTAGGAACATTCTTTTTTTTTTTTTTTTAGGAAATAATAAGATAAAAATAAAAATACTGAGAAAACTTGGAAATACTGTGTCATATTTTTAATCCAAATGTTTTCCTTAGTGTATTAAGAATTCAGAGTGAGAAAGAGTGGTAAAGCTATTGTCAAGCTTCAGGGAATTCAGGGCATCCTGAAGAAGGATGGCAATGATTTTTCCTTTAACTATTAAACAAGGACAGATCACAAATCGTTTTAGATGTCTCTCTGACAAGTTAAGAACTGTGTTAAAATACCTATTTAAGGACACTGCATTCAGTAAAAATGATCCACAAGTTCTTGTTAAATTTATAGCTCATCTCATTCTCTTATGGATGTTTGTTGCATAACACCCTCTCCAGCAGTTAATGTATCTTTATTATCTGAAACAGGGATTTACATTTGGCACAGAGAATGTGTCTATGTTTAATGTTGCATACCTTAATAGTCCTTCTTGTTTTTTAAAAGAAGTCTAATTTGTTCCTATTTTCTTTCATTTCAGGGACCAACCATGAGTTGTCAAAAGTTCTGAAACGGCTACTGTGTATGACAGCAAATATTCCTTATTTTGATCATGACAAATCATTTTCTAGCTTGATTGTTAGCCTTCTGGGAAAGGAATGGGTATTTGTAAGTGCCTACCACAAAAACTTCTTTCCAAACATTGGTTTTTACAGAGCTCAAACAATGCAGTGAAAGAAATTTAGTGATTTATTAAGCAGGTAGCAAAGGATTTTTTGAGGGATGGTCATTTTTGAATGACATAAAACAATTTTTTTATTATTTTGTTAAATAACACAAATCTTGTCCATTTGTCTCCTGCTGTCCTGCAGAATATTTAAGATTCTAGCAGGAAATGAAAGCTCAAAACATTTTGTGATGAAAACTATTAATTTTCAGCCAAACCATGAACATTAGGAAATGGTATTCTGTGACCTCCAGGGAACCCTAGGTTAGAATCACATGTTTCAGTCTTTTCCACAGTCTGGATTTCATGGCAAGATACAAAGACCTCCCAAGATGTATTTTGAAGCTACACACAGTACACACTACGCGTTGTTTCTTTTCTAGCTAGCCACCTGCAGCCACAAAATGGTATGGTCACACAAGTAAACCAAATTATTTCAGATGGGACATGAGACTGTTAACATAATACTAGATATTTTACTTGAGAGTGCTCACTTCTATCCCTAAAAAACTAAAATCAAACCAACCAACCAACCAAAGAAGCAAAAACCAAAATCACAAAAAACTACATACCTAGAAAAAAATGACACTGAGTCAAGAAACAATTGCCTTTTAGAAGGAAAAATTTCCCGCTAGAAATCATGTAAGATGTTCCACATTCTTTTCCATGCAAGATAAAGAATCATATTCCCAGGCTACCTTTCACATAGATTCATAGTAACAATATTTTAAGAGTTTTCCTCTTACATTAGTCCCTTTGACCACTTAAGTAGTTGAGTACAGAACTACCAGCATTTGGGAATTTGAGGACCAAAAATCCTAGGGGGATTCTCTGAATATTTGATATGAATTTTAGGCCTAATTTTGTTACCTTTCTACCAGTAGTTATTAATTCTCTGAAAGAGTCAAAAATATACTTACTTACAAGAAATTTATACAACCAAATTGGACAAGTATTTTTTATCTTTCAGACAGTAAGTGACCTGTCTTTCATGCAGAAAAAAATTTAAATCAAAGTAAATAAATATATTTTTATTGCAGAAGGGAACAATGGCAGGTTTCTTGATTCTTTTCATTATTACTATGTATTCAGCAGCTGCCAACCTGCCTTACCACCATGTCACTGACACACCTAAATATTATGGCTGCAGGGACTAAGAGCCTTCTCAACAGACTACTGACAAGCCAAAAAAATCTGGGTGAGTATTCATTAGAGTTTTTTTCTGGTGGGAAAAAAACCCCACATATAATTCTGCCACTTTTTTCTGTTTTCTGTGGGAGAAAGAGGGAAAACCTGAACTTCTATATAGGAATTTACATATATTTGGAGCTTGGCTTTCAAGTCTGATAACTCTACTATATATTTGTTAGAATACATTTATATAAAACAAATACATATAAATACATGTCTTTGTATAAACACATCTAAATGAATATGTTTATTATATAGGTATATAACTGTTATAACAACAACTTTCCTCAGAACTACAAGAATACTTCTGACTTATTAATGAACTGAATTTACAATATGCTTAATATGGAATACAGTTTAAATCACTAACATTTCAATTCTCTATTGGATTTCAAATCTGTCTCCTCTTCTCATGTGTTTCCACCTCACATACCTGTTTAGTGTTTTCATAATTACTCACAATTAGTAAAGAACCACAATATGGTAATTTAAGAGAAACAGGTATATTCATATGTGTATTATTTAGTTTTCAGCTAATATAGAAACATATTTGTGCTACTAAAGCTGTTCTTACCATTCATTTGCTATCCGGTGTTCTACGGCCTCTGTTAGATTTCCACGTTTAAAGAAGTCATATTATAATTTTGTATGCACCTTAAAATAACTGTCAAAGCCATTTTTATGTGCTGAAACCTTTCTGAAATGATATATCAGTAAAAAGAAAACCAGGAAAAGGAACAATAATCAATTAAAAAACTTGTGGATTTGTATGCAGTGTGGAGCACTATTCACTGTGATATTATTAAATTTTCATACATTAAATGATAGTTCCTGATTACAGTAAAATAATTGGTTTATTTCCATGAATATAGAATGGTCTGTTTCAAGCAAGTTTTATTTGCAATAGTAACAGCATAAAAATAATGGGTTTTCTTATTTCTAGTTTTGATGTTTGTAAATTGTTTATAGAGAGCTAATAGATTCATACAGTTCTTTCTAGAACCCAAGATAAGGCTGAGTTTTAACAGAAATGATCTCTCCATCTGTGCATGCCCAAAATCTTGTGGTGTTAAATCCTTACAGCATATATCTACATCCTGGTCTTTCAAAGTGTTGCACAAATTGGTGCTGCTAACCAATATTGCTAACCATTGATCTTAATTCTTTTAATCACCACATAAAACAAATCCTTTTGTGACAACCTCCTTCCCATACTGTCCCATGAATTCTTAAGCATTTTTTGCAATGCAGGGAAGCGATTATCTGGGAACTAGCTTGAAATATATAACAGCTCTACTATGCAAATGCAAAGGGTTTTGTATTTGTTACTATTTATTACACATTTATTTCAGAAGAAGGCAGCATGCGTAAATTGGCATAAACTTTGCATGTAGCCCAACAACTTTTATTTAAAGTAGGTGTGATGTGAGCTTAAAAATGTTCTTTAACAACATAATTTTTAAAAAGCAGCTATGAGTTTTTAGAAGCCAAACAATTATATCTGTTTTTCATTTATTTATCAGATTACATATTTTAGCTAAAAGAAAAATTTGAAAGGCAAATAATCAATTCTAATCAGTTTATACACAGCTTATGTTTTGAAAACTTGCTACAATAATCAATTCATTCAACCACAAAAATATAGAAATGAGAGGTAGAGTGAAATTTGTAGCACACAGGGCAATTTAACACTTGCATAAATCTTACATGACTAAATTCTCTTGACATCATTATGGTATGGTATTGTGGTAACCAGATGGGTTTTACTGTTTTACTAGGATGTCAGACTAACTTTAATGAAAGATTTGTTAAATTATGCTTTCTGATCAAGAGTCAATATGTGAGATATTGTGCTGCACTTTAGATATTCATTGATTACTATCGCAAATTTTCTCTACATTTCATGCAGCAAATTATCTAAGAAACTTAAAAATTGAAAGTCTATGTATTCTATTGCAGAACTCATGCATAACTTAGCATTTTCTTTGAGACTAATAGCAGTAGATGAGCTTATATCTATATGTAATAACTCACAAAGTACTCTAAAGATTGTTGAGAAATAATCTCAGAACTGTATCTACTCAATCAGAATTTCAGAATCACTTAACACATCAGTGAAATGCCAGCTCCACAGTGACATGAATTAGTGATTTAACAGAACACAGCAATCTTTTAAGCTTGTTTTTCATTTACAGTTATTTTCTAGGAATAGATGAAATATTATATCATGGAATTAAGTGCTCATATGCAATAATGCTGAGTTCAACGTCAACTAGAGCAGGAAATAGTTAAGCTTCTTGTATTTAAGTATTCCAAGGTTCTAATCTTTCAGGCACCAGGCACAATGATTTTTTCCTACCTTTCTCAATATATTAACATTGGGGAATGAGTATTATTTAAAAACAATAAAAATTCTAGAGGAAATAAAAAAAAAAAAACAAATAGAAACCTGCTTAGCAGAAGCCACATTTCAAATAATAAAGTACAGTTTGTCTTGAGTGTTCTGTTTACACTGAATTGAAAAGACACTAATTCCTGTAGCTGAATATCTACTTATTTTGTATGTATTACTTTAAATTTACAAGGGAAGTGTCACTGTTATGAATGATCTTTATCTTGTTTTGGGTCTTCTTAATAATGAAACTACCTTGATATATAATGGTTCATTTTTAGAATTATTGTTGCATTCTAACAGTGCATTTTGGTTTCATGTGATAAATAGATTCAAGTAGATAAGATGCGGAAGAACTTCCTTACTTACTATTTGGGAAGACAGCATAATAACTGTCAAAGTTCTTCAGATGCAAGTTTCCATAAATATTCAAACATAACGGATTTTTAGTGTCACGTGTTTCTATTCTTGATGGAGTTTTTAATATTGTGTTTATGAAAGAAAAATGCTGATACACTGCTTTTTCTTAATTTCACCTGACAAAATATCAGAGGGAGTTTCACATTTCCTTCTACGAGAAAAGACAGTGTACTTGTTCCTTCCAATGTTTCTAAGAAATGGAAATGACCACAACAGGCTCAAGGCAGCAAAAGCTGATAAAATGTATATATCTCCCCCATGGCCTTTAATGTGTGACTCGGTTCTCTTATTGTTTCTCCTTTTTATCTGTGAATGGCACTGTCTGTTTAGGTGGTGCTTCAGTGCTACCTGTTGGCTGCTGCTTTATTTATGGGTAGCTTGTAATTGCTTAGATAATCCAGCCAAGAGTAGAACATTAGGAGCTCTGTGAAAATATTAAATACAAGTAACTTTCTTTTCCATTGTGCACTTTGAACATTACTCTCAGTGAACAGCAAAAGCTATGACTCCATTGCTTTAGCAAGCAAACCAGAATGCTTATAATGCGTGTTTGAGTGTCAAACAACAATCTTTTTCTGCTTTTAGTAACAATGCCTATAGAGACCCTTCCATCTTCATCTCACCAGCATTCCAATGGTTTATTAACATTTTGAAAGCCAAGAAATTCCATTCATTCATTAAAATCATACGGTCTCAAGTATGGACTTGTCAGATTTAAAATGAACAGTCAGTTTGATATTCTTAAAGATACTGGAAATATTAAACCCGTATTTAATCACCCCATTAAAGAAAAAAGTAAACAAAACTCTTCTCCACCAGGGTGAAGGTATTTCTTTTTTCTCTCTTCCAGCATTGGTGATACTTATGTAAAGTATGCAAGTTTATGTGAGAATTAGGAGAAAGGGGGAGGGAGAAAAAGAATTCATTTAAAACAACTCCAGACTTCAAAACTGACAAAAACCCAAATAATAGCATAATATTAGTAACAGTGAAAACAACAACAATAATGTGTTTGTTCGTTCTTCCTCTAGGGTATCACCTAATACATGTTAAATCTGTCTCTTTAGCCGAGGAGAAGCATTATCTCACTTGCAATTGTCTCCAAGTGGGGGAAGGGGAAAAGCTGTTCACCAAATGCACCCTTTTGAATGTCCATGTGCTACAACTTACCATGTTCTCTCGCTTTTAAATTGTTCCTACATACATACCTACATATTACAACAGAGCAAAATTTCTTAAAATAAGAAATTGATTTCTAAACTATGGTGTTTATTTTTTTTGCTACGTGAATCTGGCTTTTAGAGTTTAGAAGTTGTCATGCTTGAAGTTTGAAAGGAAAAGTAGATTGTTTCTGCAGGCTGTCACAGTTTCATATTTATGGTGGCATATCACTTTACTACTCCTGCTGACGGCCCACCTGTCTCCGTTGCTCTGAATCAACACTTCAGGACTCAGCACCTACTGTTAGCCACTAAGAAATGATCCCTAAGGCAGGAAAGAGGCAGCAAGCCAAAAACAACATTCACAGCCAGTTAATGAATGCAGAAATTAAAGCAAAAAAAACAACCAAAAATACCCTGAAAACCCAGAAAAGCAATTAAATTATATGATAAAGAGTTGAAATATAGACTGCTAGAAAGAACAGAAACAAAATAATTTTTATGGCACCAGATTAATTCTCTGTCCTATTATAACTTGAATGGTTTAATGTCTTATTCTTATATCACACTAGCCTAAACGATGCCCTTAGTCTTCATGTAAACTGTATTGAATAAAAAACAGTCCTTCAACTCTGAGTTTCTTTGTAAACATCAGATGGAACATTAGAAAGACAACTCCTTTTTTGTATAAAATTTTTACCACAAGTAGAAGGTGCTTTTGAGGTTCATGAGTTTCAATCTTGTCACTTTCTCCTATAGAGTGATACTCTGACATGCAAAAGAAAGTAAAAAAAAATAAAATCATTATCTACTAGAGGGGTTTTAAAGATGAATCTGATTTATTCCGGGTGTATGACCCCACATACTGACTTATGAAGCAGCTCAACAGATTTCTTTTTATTTCAGCAGTTTGAATCAGAAGCACAGTTCAGAATTCTAATGTTACCTGAATGGTAAGGGAAAGAATCACGTTTATAAGGGTCTGAGCTCAGCAGGAGCTGAGAGTCATTTATTCTCAGGCTGAT